GTATTACTGTGTTAGTCTGCCTTGTTTACCACGTTTGGGCATGAGTCATCACAATGGAATGCAGGGCATCAACCAATAGGCATGCAGCTTTCCTCTATACTTCTTGCTGATTGGCTGTTGGGATTTAACTTGATTAACACCTGCACAGAAGCATTTCCATACTGACAGTATGTCTGTATTCAAGTGTTTTGGTAGGTATTTCAAGCTTTCCTGCTCCAGCATTGGAATGCCGGGCATGGACGTTTTTTTTTTTATTTTGAAAATCAACAGTTTGCATTATGCAATTAAAAATCCTAACCAATAAAGTAGGGAATAGCTATCCAACTGTTGTTTTAGTTGTATTTTACTTCATATTATAGTTATATCAATGTAAATCATTGTTTTCCCTTGTGTTTCCCATTCTTTCCCTGCCATGTCGTAAAATGTGGTGAACCCATCGCTGTATTTGCTCCAAAGCAAATATTGGCCTTTCTAGTTAAACCTTTATTGTTACAGCATACATATATACTCTGTACGTAAGACGACGTTATCCACACATGTATTTAACTTTGTTAGATCTTTAGTTGTAGAAGACCATACAAAAGTCCCTGTACTTTTTTGTTGTGTCAATAAAGAATCTCATTATATAGTTACCTGCGTTCATAAAAACAAATACAGAACGCTAGAAAATTTTGCGCGGTAAGCTACGTACAAAATGTAGTACACCGTTCGACAGGTTTTTCTGCAGGACAGCCTCTGAAAGGGCAAAGTTCATCTCAGTTACGTCATAACACACAACACTACTCGTTCCTTCTTCATAAAATGATAAATCATCTTTAAGAAGACGATCCAAGAATCAGAATGGGGTGAGTGGCGTTACTATCATTTTTCAATATAAGGCTACAAGAACTTTTAAAGATAGTTGATTTGATTTTGTCTAATTTGTGGATCTCTCTTTAAATAAAACATATTCCGAATTTCTAATGATGCTCTTCAAAGTGGGCCTAGATCAAAGCACTGAAACTCACATCGTAACGGTCACTGCAATTCTTACAGCAAAGTTTTGATATCCGAATGTCTATCACAAAAAGAGAGGGTCAAATTTGGTATACAATTCAACCTTTCTATGTGAAACAAGCTTGCTACATATATATATTCGGGATATGAGTCCTCGACCTACATATGCAATGTAGCATATATAATTGTCTCAGTATAGATAAACGTACCATTTCCTGCTGTACATCTGTATTAGCGTATATGTAGTATCATTAAAGATAGGTATATACATATAAGTGTATGTGAAGTCTACACACATCACCCTCAACTAAAGGTAGCTTTTGTGACAAAGAACAACATCAGCTGAAATTCAGCTTCAATATACTGCTGTGTGTGTTATAATGATGCAATGATGAATAATTAATTCATGCCCGTGCAAGCATATTTCCTTACCAGGCATCGGAAGCATGTTAAAAAAGGATTTTGTTTTAAAATCGTCAACAATCCACATATTCAGCATTGGAAACTGTTGGAAAGCCCCGCGTATTTTTTGTCGCTGCTTCACAAATAACACCATTGTTTACTGCTGACAACTGATGCCTCAGCACATTTTGACGCCAGGAGGTCAACGTCCAATAGAGCAAGTAACGTTTAAGTGTGACGTCATCACCGCACCTGGTATTCCCCCGCCGACACTTCCGCATTATGTGGCGTCTGAGAGTCGTTTCCAGACCTCGTTAGTAACTTGTGTTCTCTGTATCATTACCAGCCCGATCACCATGTCCAACATACTGCATGTTGCGGGGACCCTTCTCCCTGCAGACGTGCAATGCCGGAGGTTTGTGGCGGCTAACAGGTATGACCTGGCCGAGACGGGGTACGGCCGCGCCCTTCTGGCCGCCATGTCTGATATGGACAGGCTGCAGGAAGTGGAGGTACTGAAGAGCCTGGGAGACTTGAACGTCGAAAAGGGAAGACTCCGCAAGACCGAAGCTCCGCGGAACATGGAGCGGGGCCTGAATCTGTACAGGGCCGCGCTGCTCCGGTGTGAAGACCCGGGGGAAGGCGAGTCTCTCCAACATAGGGTCAAACTCGCCGAGAAACTCAGGCAGAAAACGCCCATAGCTGGATCAACCAGGAACACAACCGTTAATTCTGTTTCAATGACTTCAGAAATCTTTCAAGACTTGGACAAGACACGGGCTAACGGTGGCCATTTGGACTCCATCTTAGAGGGCTACACGAAGATTCTTGTAGAAGGAATAGCGGAGGGGCGCAATCTGTTGGAAATGGAAGCTATGAAAAGTCTTGGAGACGTAAACCTTAAGAGAGGAAGAGACTTAAAGGAGGCCAGCCACTTGACCAAGGCTACAGCCCTGTACAGCACAGCCCTGGAGCGATGTGACGATCCACATGGGAAAACCGTCCTCACACATCGCTTACTGCACGCAGCAAAAGTTAGGAAGGACATGGCGGAAAAAAGGAGACGGGTATGTTTTAAATAGATCCAATTACAACGTCTTGTGCTTTGGATACCGTTGCCAACGTACCTCACAATAGTACATGCTAAGCATATTATCTCAACTAAGCATAATATCTCAACCAACAACAAAAGACTATATGATTGCTTAAGTCTCCGAACCCATTTATTTTTCAAAGAAGTTAATTTTTTAACCTGGTGTTACATATTAGTAGTCGATTGTTGTCATCTATAAGCATTTGTTATCTCAGATATCACGGTTGCTACCCGGTACTTTTCAGATGAGTCCAAGGGACACAAAGACAAACAAGTGGCTGCCAAGTGGATCTAAGAAGGTCACTTCGACTATTCCGCAAGGTCATGGCCTCCCTACAGTAGATGCTGCGAGGTGAGTGACGTCACTTCTTCATTCAGCCGTTACTAGAGAATTCTTTCATCAGAGACAAGTTTCTGAAGGGTAAAATACTAAACTCCAAATTTTCGACGACTATCTGTCCATCTTGTTCACGGAGTGGCCTAGTCTCACGAGTGGACGAGGCTAGGCCCGAAACTTGCATTGGTCTGCTGGGCCCTCTGTTGGACTGATAGTCAAAAACTTGTCGCTGCTGAAAGAATTCTCTTGTAACTGTAACTATACGTGACAAATGGATCTCTTTAACGATATTTTTTCAACCGTGTTTCACCTATGTTTTAACATGTGAGTCATTATGTACAACGTACAAGACCTTCAGTTAAGTGATTTATAATTCCTCTCCCAGTATGCAGCGCAAAGAAAAAAAACATGCAGAAAACTTAATATCTGTATGTGTTCTTTGTCTGTTAATATCTGTTCCGCCAATGCTGATATACAACGTCATTTATTTCTGATTATACAGCAAATATGTATACTATGATTTTCGCTTTGCTTCAGGGTGTACAGAGACCAGTTACAAAAGGGCTGCAGGGCGATGGAGACGGGGGACCTGGGCATGGCAGAGACGCACTTTGCAGCTGCGCTCAAGGCTGTTCATGTGAAAGGTACGAACCTAAAAAAAGTCAACACTCGGAAGTAGTGCTGCATACCGGTTCACTGGACTTGGATCCGGACTTGTTTAGGTTCAAGTCCAAAAAAAAACCAAAAGTCAAGAACCGAGTCCGGACTTATTACCATAAAAGACCATTTCACATACCCCTTTTCTTTCCAAACCACCTAAAACAGTCCGTAGATTGCAAAATCTTTGCTGCAAAATGAAGAAAACTTTTCCATCGGGCATCATCAAGTACCGGCCTCCATGTTATGTGGCCAAAGTTTCACCCAGTCAACATTGCAAGGTTGCCAACATGCAATTTTGTATATGCCATGGGTTTAGGTCCGGACTTACAAGTCCAGAACTGAACCTAAACCTCTGGACTTAAATCGGGAACCTAAATGTGGGTTTAGGTATGCAGCACTGCTCGGAAGAAATCATTTAAGGAAAATCACAGTTTCAAATCTAATTGAACGCACTGTGTTTGTGTGTGGTGTCAAGCTGTTTAAGTATGCTTTATGTTATCATTTTGAATATATCTTAATCACCTTGAATGAACTACAGACAACATTTCACAACAACGCCCTCTGTACGTTAAGGGGAAATCTGCAACGTCCTTAAGGTAGATAAATACATTATTGACAGCGCTGCCATAGTACGCAAACCTACCAGTTTAATAAGTTCTAATTTCTATTTGTGCGATTTGAAGTATTACCTATTAGTCAAAAACACAGTTACATGTTTTTATAATCTGAAACTCTTGTTTACTTCAGAGTCAAATACAGACCAATACAGGAAAGAAACAGAGCCCCTGTGCAGGTTAAGCGATGTCTACCTGGAAAGAGGAAAGCAATCGAAAGACGGAAGTGACTTCACCAAGGCTGCAGTACTCCGTAATGCCGCACTGGTCAGAGCAAGGACAGAAGACAAAAAAGGCATCAAACAAGCAATCCTACAAGTTAGTCAGTTATTTGATGAGCACGCGTTGGGGATCGAGCAAGCAGTGGAAAATGTTGACTCTGAAAATCACAAATCAATACTGAAGAAACACCGGGAGCTTGTAGAAGAAGAGATGAAAAAAATCGAGCAAGAGATCGATCCTTATAGTCTTGATGACGATGATCCAGAGATAAGAGAAGTAGAGAAGAAGAGAGTGGAAGCGATCATAACATTGTTCCAAACAATTTTTAAACAGAGAAAAACATTCATATCTGCCCTTGTAGATGAATGTATGGATGTAATGGGCCCCCCTCCCTGTAAGTACGCCATGATAGGCATGGGTTCACTGGCCACAGGGTTAGTAACCCCATACTCTGATCTGGAGTTCGCCATCCTGATAGAGGAGAAAACAGAATGTAACGTGAAGTATTTCCGCAACCTCACTCATTATCTGCATCTCAAAGTTATCAACCTGGGAGAAACCATCCTCCCGGCAATGGCGATCAAGTCGCTCAATGATTTCTCCTCCAAAGACCCGCAGGACAACTGGTTCTACGACTCTGTAACGCCGCGCGGGTTCGCGTTCGACGGAGCCATGCCGCATGCATGTAAGACTCCACTGGGCAGGGGTGAAACAGCTGAACTTATCCAGACACCAAGCGAGATGACCAGGATCATTCAAAATGACCTAACTTTGCATTTAAAGAAAGGCTACCATCTCGCCAGTATCTTGGGGAATGTGTGTTTGATAAAAGGAGAACAGGACTTGGTCGATGTGTACTCCGCCTTGTGGAGTCAGCAAGTCAAAAGTAGGAAAGGGGCAACATTTGCGTTACAGGCATTTAGCATAATTTCCGAAGATACTAATGTACAAACATTTATATTCGATGAACCAACATCTCGATTGCTAGATGTGAAGAAAGAAATCTATCGATTCTCGACCCTTGCAGTGTCGTGTTGGGCACTACTTTATCGTATACAGCCCACAACAATATGGGAGACTATTCAGAACATGAACAAGAACGGAGTCATCAACGGTGAGGACGCGCATCACTTGATGGTGCTGGTCAGCATCTCAGCAGAACTGAGGCTGCGGACATACATGAACAACCGTGGACAGGTGGAGAACATGTCAGCCTTGTCGTCCATGTCTGGTAACACAGATATGGGGGACAAGTTGAGGAAAGTGTTTTACTTCTCCAATACAAAACAACTGTTGAGGTACTATTACACAGCAACGCCATTAAAGTTCTTTATTCCGCAAATCATCGAAATGTACCCACTGCCGGTAAAATCTCCTGTTCTGTTTAACAACTCACCAAAGTTACAAGCCGGGGTATATGGAAGTCTGTGTGACTACGAAAAAGCCAAATCGTGCATGGAACTGGTACTCCAGGATAAGGTTGCTAAACATGGCAGGAACACTGCACATCCAGACATCGCCAGTTCATTCCACAGCCTGGGAGACGCCTGTATGAACCTTGGTGATCACAGAAAGGCAGTCAGCTATTATGAACAGGCACTACAGATGAGGCGGAGTATCCATGATGAGAACACTGCACATCCTGACATCGCCGGGATACTAAGCAACTTGGGTATCGCATGGAACTATCTTAGTGATCACAGAAAGGCCGTTAGCTGTCTGGAACAGTCACTAAAGATAATGCGGGAAATCCATGGTGACACTCCACATCCTAACATCGCCTCGTCACTTAACAACTTGGGTAACGCCTGGATTAACCTTGATGATCACAGAAAATCCATCAGTTATTATGAACAGTCACTGCAGATGAGGCGGAGTATCCATGGTAAGAACACAGCACATCCTGAGATCGCCGCGTCACATGGTAGCTTGGGTATTGCCTGGAGGCACCTTGGTAATTACAGAAAGGCCGTCAGTTGCCTTGTACAGTCACTAGAGATACAGCGGAAAATCCACGGGGAGGACACTGCACATCCTGACATCGCCAAGACACTTCACAACTTGGGCCGCGCCTGGAATGACCTTGGTGATCACAGGAAGGCTGTCAGGTATTATGAACAGTCACTACAGATGAGGCGGAAAATCCACGACGAGGCCACTGCACATCCTGACATCGCTATGTCACTGAACAACTTGGGTAACGTCTGGAGTGACCTAGGTGATCATGGAAAGGCCCTCAGCTATCATGAACAGGCACTACAGATGAGGCGGATTATCCTTGGTGAGGACACTGCACATCCTGACATCGCCAGGTCACTTAACCACTTGGGTAACGCCTGGGGGAACCTTGGTGATCACAGAAAGGCCGTCAGCTATCATGAACAGGCACTTCAGATGTGGCTGAATATCCATGGTAAGGACACTGAACATCCTGACATCTTCAATTTACTTAACAGCTTGGGTGGAACCTGGGGGGCCCTTGGTGATGACAGAAAGGCCGTCAATTATTTTGAACAGGCACTACAGATGGAGCGGAGTTTCCATGGTGAGAACACTGAACATCCTGATATCGCCAGGTCTCTGTATAACTTGGGTATTGCAGAGGGGAGTCTTGGCGATCACAAAAAGGCCGTCTGCTATTGTGAGCAGTCACTACAGATGAAGCGGAGTATCTATGGTGAGGAACATCCTGACGTTGCAAAGACACTTCAGGTGCTGAGTGAGCTTCGTAAACTCATTGGTGATCACGGAGAGACCGCCATCTATCAAGCATAGTCATCATATACGTGGTCAGCGGAAGTTTATCTTTATCAATGAAACTACTTTTATATGACGACGTCTGTTAGAGATCAATTTGCGTTATGCCAAGCGCTTCAAAACTTGAAGATAATTTTTATACAATACTGATAGAAAACCCCTTTCCTAATTCCAGTTCTTTCAGTCCTTCTATTTCTAGAACGGTATGAGTCTGAGTGTTTGAGTTTATTCGACCCACAGTTTGCCAAGATGGCAATGACTATTGTATTTCGTGGGAATGATTCAATAATTCGCTAGAATTAAGAGCGCTCACGCTTCGGCCTGAGGGGGTCCCAGATCACCCAAGTGTAGGTCATTGGTCATGGGCCAGGGGGATCCCCTTTCCGCATAGGGACTAACAGTTTCTAGTTCAATATATACATACATTGAGTAATACTATACAAAAACCGTGTCATAATTAATAACAATGTGAAATGTAGTATTCCATCATATCATGTACATGTACTGAATGATAAGGTTAGATTAGTACGCTAGCAGAAATAGTTTATAGTCATTAAGTGTTATTTGCCATACAGTGTACCCGATGCAAATTTATTTTTGCGCAATAAACTTTGACTTGATTGATTGATTGATTGATTGATTGATTGATTGATTGGTTGATTGATTGACAAGGACAACATGACCCACTTACACGATCGAAGGTTCGGTACCGGTAGAACACAGGAGTGAGACAACTAATCGGGAAATTAACGTGGGAAACTAGAGTTCCCAGATCTCATACCTTCGCCAAATGATGTTAATCGTTATGGCTGACAAATTATAGATTATTCCCCCTGATTGTGCAAATAGGATCCTCATTTTCATGAATTATATCACTTTATCATATTCTCAACCAAAAGACAGTCTTATATTAAGAAACAGTGCCATTCTATTATTTCCTCATAAATTATGCAAATAAGGTCCTGATTTGAATACATTATGTTCAATGATGTTTACCTTCACTGAACTTTCAAATACCACAGGTATGAAATTACAGACAGTTATCATTACAGAATTATAACATTTTCTCATTGATTATGCAAATTAAGTCCTCATTTACATGATCGATATCTGCCTGTGTTTCGTTCTCAATTACCAATGTCACAAGCTTCAATAGTCCTATCATGAAGTGCAGCTGATTTATAGAATTTCCACATTAATTATGCAAATTACACCCAGATTTGCATAATTGTCGCATAATTATGTCAAGCGTCACTTAAGCTACCTACATACCAAAAATCACGACGATCCGTCCACCGGCTCTTGAGTTATCCTCTTTTGAATCTTTTCAAACAGATAGCCCTGCAGTTCCAGAGCAAGCCGCTAGGGGGCCCAAACTCACGTCACTTATTCTCTGGCAAAAGAGCTACCTACCATGTACCATCAAAATTTCGTCACCCTAGCATGTCTAGATCATGAGATATCAAAACCGGAAGTTCAGCTGCAGTACCGTAACAAGCCGCTAGGGGGTCCAAAATCTAATCATTTCCAGCTCTCATCAAGACCTACCCACCTACCAAATATCAACATAATCCATCCAAGCTTTCTCGAGTTATGCTGTTGACAGACACACAGACATACAGAAACTCGGCCAGGAAAACATAACCTTCGTCAATTCTTGGCGAAGGTAATAAATCATCTTCCTCGTTAAGAGTGTAGCAAGCAAAGCACAGTTTCCAGAACTGCTTGTCTTTCATTGCTGTAACAGTGGGGTTCAACCAACACTAACTGAACCAATCCCCCCTATACCTTGCCTCAAGAAGTTAATGTTCTTTCCAATTTAAATTCTGTTTCTACGTGAAAACCAACTGGTATTTTGTTTATTGTTTATTTGTTTACTTGAAGGATCTCATTAGTGAGTTCTTCCTGGAGTCTTAAAAACATATTACAAACTTATAACACAAACGTATATACACTTGCTTGTTGCCACACATAAAATACAACAACCTGTAACTATTACTTAACTTAGCCTATCCTATTCTATATACAACAAAGTAATTTTCTCGCTTCTTTATTCGGACTATTTTCTATCGTGCAACCAGGATGTCGTTTATGAGAAATAAAAGAACTATTCTACTACTACTACAACAACTACTACAGTAACTACTCACCAGCGCCATTGGCGACTATGTAGCGGAATTATCCTGGAATACCGATACTTCCCGCTAGTCAGCGCTCGTGAGTAGTGGGAGCTCTCATCATCATCATCATCATCATAATAATAATAATCATAATCATAATCATCATCATCATCATTTCCAAAATGGCGACCTTCAGGGCCATGTGACGCGCCGATTTGAGGCATAAGACATGGTCACGGAAAAACTGTGGTACGTCCAGGGTGCGTCATGTCTGAGCATGCCTGAGCCACGCCCACCTCTTATGCAAATTGAGTGGGCGTGTCCTGCATATTTATGGTGACCGTGACCCACTCGCACCACATGTGATCTTGTTTGTGTTTATATGAACAAAACTGCCACCATTTTGAGAGTAAACGCAATTATGTGTTGCGGTGAGAAAACGATGGGTTTTATCTTGTATTTAACCTCCTGGGTTTTATCAGGACAAGCATGGGCTTGATGGGCAAGATCACGTCCACCGAGACTCTGGTCTGGCTCTAGGCCTAAGTAATATACGTTGTAACTCTGGAGGATGGCACCCAGGCTAACGAAGGTCCACGACTCAAGTACTCAGTACATACGTACAGTGCCGATTCATAATTTTCACAAAAAAGCCAGCTTGTCGTACTAGTACGTCGCTATGTACTCCCGCAAATTCACAATACCAGCTTTGTATTCCTGTGCATGTGCCACTGTGGTTTAGTAGCAATTTTATTTTTGGCCGACTTTTTTTATTCGCCCGCGCGCACCAGATTGGGGGTCTTCAGATGATGTCATACATAAAATTAAGAAGGCGTGGCCTAACTGTAAAGTTTTCGCTCCGCAAAAAAATCGAGCGTTGCGGAGTGTAAAAAAGTAGTACACCGTTCGACAGGTTTTTCAGCAGGATAGCCTCTGTAGGGGCAAAGTTCATCTCAGTTACGTCATGACACACAACACTACTTGTTCCTTCTTCATAAATCATCTTTAAGAAGAAGATCCAAGAATCAGAATGGGGTGAGTGGGAGTCTTTTTTATTTCAATACAAGGCTACGAGAACTTTCAAAGATAGTTGATTTGATTTTGCCTAATTCACGGTTATCTATTTAGATAAAACATATTTTGAATTTCTCATGATGTCTTCGAAGTGGGCCTTGATCAAAGCACTGACACTCAAATATTAACGGTCACTGCAATTCTTACAGCAAAGTTTTGAAATCCGAATGTTTATTCATGAAAAGAGAGGGTTTAATATACAGTTCAATCTCTCTGTGTGAAACGAGCCTGCTACATATATTCGGGATATGAGTCCTCGACCTACATATGCAATGTAGCATAGATAATTGTCTCGTCTCAGTATAGATAAAACGTACCATTTCCTGCTGTACATCTGTATTAGCGTATATGTAGTATCATTGAAGATAGATATATACAGATAAGACTGAGATTAGTAGTTGGTCAGTAGTCTAGTTATCCGCAGTTTCTGTACGCTGATATGAGTATGGAAATTTTAAGAAATGATCTATAACAAGGATCTTGATAGTCGACGCCGCGGGCACTGGTCTTTCTTCGCAGTGTACAGAGAATTCGAAACATTCAGTGTTTGCAAGTGTTTCGTTTACAGTGGATAATACTAACTAAATAGCATGTTCCAACAATCATGGATTTGATTTATGATTTATTAAGATTAGCCATATTTGTGGAAGGATTGGCACAACAGGTGACTAACATCTCTTCAAGATGTCCAACCCGGGGCCTAGACTGTAAGATTTGAACCACTTACTCTCCAACTGAATGGGAGCATCGCCACACAAGCAGAGGTTTGGGTTTGGGGTTATTTTAGCGTGTTTTCAGGCTTTGTAATCGGGGTTTCCCTTTTGCACTGGAATTTTTTTGGGTGAAAAAAATCCCCCCCCCCAAAAAAAATTCCAGTGCAAAAGAGAAACCCCGATTAAAAAGCCTAAAAACACGCTGAAAATAACCCCAAACCCAAACCTCTGCTTGGAGAGTTTGAACCACTCACATCAGGAAGGGACCCTGCTCGTTTTTTTATAAGTGTGGTGGGATCTTTAATGTGTGGCCCTTCTTAAACACGCGTATGGAACCTCCGGCTTTACGCCCTATCAGGGAGGACGTCCCTAACCGAAGCTAGGTACTCATTTACACCTAAATCAAGTGAGAAAATAGTTGTAAAATGGCTTTCCCAGGGACATAGCAATGAGGCCTGCTGACAGGCATTCGAACCTACTCTCCAAGCAAATGCTTGTTTTTTATTGTTATTTTGGGCTTGTTGCAACACTTTTTTTATCGTTTTTGTTTTGCAATGGAATTTGTTTTGGGGATTGGGTGTAAAAAATCCTAGTGCAAAAAAAGAAACCCTGAAAAAAAAGTCCTAAAACACGCCAAAAATAACTCCAAACCCAAAAGGCTGCTTGGAGAGTAGTTCGGACCTTCGGAACATGAGTCAGCAACCCTAACCACAAGATCACCTTGCCACCCGATCGGATCATTTCAATGATATCCGACTACACTCCAACGAAACAGCTGTACACTACACTTCCTACTGTACACTGACGAACGCATTGACATGTTATCATCTCTATAGCTAACTAACATCCTGCCATTTGACACAAACAGCGTCACCGACAACACCTTATGTTCAACCATTCTCAGGGGTAACCCCTCATTGTCGTTTGTCAACAACTGTAACATATTTGATGTGGTTTTCAACTTTATTTTGCAGACAGGACTTTTTGTTTGATTTAGTTGATTGATTTTGATTTGTACACCAGCTCATTATGTACCTTTGTCATTTCTGAGATAAGTTTTATAACTTTTTGCCCAATAATCCTCGAAAAATAAATGTGAATAAAATAAATAAAATACAGGACCTTGAACAGAATGACTGTGTTTAAATATCTCTCTGTCCCTTTATTTCCAGGTTTCGAGTATATCTGCTGTTGATGGTGCTTCTTCCGATGAACGATGCGCAACTAAAACTGATTGTTG